TTTAACTCATTATATTGTAATTGTCATTATTAGTGCAATAGTTGTGTGAAAATCATATAAATATTAAACCGTTTAAAAAATTCTTGAGTTCAAAGACATGAATGAAAATCTTTAATTCAAAACCATTTTATAGTTTCATAATATGATGTAATTTCAGAGAAAATGAAGACATTTGAATGCAAAAACATGCTTAATATACATAACAACTGATTTGATCCAATAAACGGGTCGTCGAGAGAGTTATGCTTTCAATTCAAATAATAGTTTAATATATTTAAAAGTTTCATAATTCAGAAGCGATCGCATTATTATTATCATTATTTTATGTATTGTCTTCTCATTCATAACAAACAATCAAATTCTCATAACATCTTTACATTTGATTCAATTGATATGCAAATGCAATGATTATATACGACTATACCGTTAAAAACCATTACTGAGACATAAATCTTCTGACCCTTAACTTCAAATTCAATGGAAAGTGTTTTTCTGTTGTATTCAAATGTGATGAACAAAAAAATCTCGCATTCAATTTGTATGAATAGATTCACAGACAATGAATTTAATGATCAAGTGTTTTGTTTTACAAAATTCTTGCTCTTATTATTAGAGATCAGAATTGAATGGAAAAAATTGTGAGAAATATTTCTTTTGGGAAAATATTTTGTTTTCTGATTTTTTTTCGGATCAATCAATCATTGAATAACTGAATCCTATAGTGAATTGAAAGGCGAGTTAATTAAGTTACAAGATTTCCGTCACATTTATGTGAAAACTATTTGTTATCGCCGTTTCGTTCGCTATAACAACATATAAATCTTTACGATTGTATTGTATTGTGTTTTTTTGATCCAAAGTAATATATGAATTATTTTATAATTTATTGCATTAATTAATATTTAAATAATTTTCTGTCAAAATAAAAAGGCATTTAAATAAAAAGTGTACCAAAAAATATTTATGATATATGATGTCAATTGCCTTTTATATTCATTTTAAATAATTGGTTTTCACTAAAAATGGCAAAAAGTTTGAACAAAAGGGCGTAAAAATGAACAAAACTTTAGCAAATATTTTTTAAATTACAAATTTTCTTTTTGTACAGAAATTAAAATTAACTCCAAATTATAGATTAAAATGTTTGATAAAAATATTTATTTTAAAACAATACCGTTTAGATAGACATACATTACAATAGACTCAGAAAATGTTGATTGAAGAAAAAGTAAAATAATTATAAAATAAAATTAATATTACTTGTATTATTCATATTAACATTAATTGAGTACCGATTTATGTAAACACTCGTCAATTATTCGCTCCATTTAGTGATTAAACACTTAATTTACAGATTTATTGATTTAATTTTTTTATTAGAATTATTTATGTTATTGACATTACGGACGAAAAAGACTTTCAAATATAGCTTTAGAGAAAATGTAAATTGAAAATACATTGAGAATGATATGCAAGTTATAAATAGCTTTATAATAATGTATAATTATTAGTGTTTCACTCATTGGTGTCTTTGGTGTCTAAAACTGGATATAATTATTGCAAACTATGTTTTCACAAATCAATGAATTTGTCTCAAAATATTTTCTCAGAGTTTCATGTTTTTCATTAGTTTTCAAAAACATAGATTAGATTATGATTTATGCCAACATATTTTCAATATGATTGAAAATGTTAGTTTTAATTATTTTTTGATCAACGAAAGTAGTTAATTTTATTTCCATTGATAATTAATTAATTAAATTTAGGTTCCAATTATTAATACTGTATTTACATTATATTTATTAAATTTTAAGTTTTTATAAATATTTTTACAATGCATTTATAGCAATGCAAACTCTGTAAAATCAAAATATAAAAACAATGTTTTACATGATTTTTTAATATATCGTAGAATTCATTGCATAATCCAAAACACAATTAATTATAAAATATTTTAGTAATCACTTTATATATACGATGAATAACAAGCGGACCATTTTTTTAAAAACTGTATGACTTTTTGGCCATTTATTAATCATAATACGGCAGATACACAAAGCGTTGTCTGGAGGCCGCGGCTCTCATTCTGCCCACTCTTCCCATTCTGTGTTGAATTCGTTGGTTATTATTATTATTGTTGTCGTGACCGCCGTATTTGTACACCTCTTCCTGAGGACCCGTCTGTTCGCCATTAGCTGTATGTTTGATATGACTCGAGACAACCACAGGGGAGGCTTCAAACTTGACATCTCCCGGATCTTTGGGAGCAGTTCCCGGTTCGTTGGTCTTGATTCTCGCTCTGAAGCCATTCTTGTCGGCCACGTATTCCACTTCTCTCATGATTCCGTCCTTGTCTTTGAAACCATAACTTCCGATCACATTAGAGGGCTGTTGACTCTTCTCGTGTCTCCACTGTTTGTTTCCATAGCCGTCTGGAAATTGTATATATTTTCAGCATTTAAATTGAATAATAAATGTATTATATTTATAAACATTTTGTACAATATAACTGTCCAAAAATGTCAGGTAATTATTAATACCTTCAATATCATAGCCGAATCCGTAGGGCTGGTAGTGATGCTTATCCTCCTTTTAAACCAATGGATATAACTTATAAACACAATTGAAATCCTAGCAAAATGATGACATACCTGAATATCATTATGTCCGCCGTCCTGACCATTGCTTTGATATTGAGTACACGTGACGGCACTTAATATCGCAAACAACGGCAAAATTGACAAATATTTCTAATATAAAAGATTGATTCAAATAATTAATATAACATTGAATTAAACACTTTTTGAAAAAACTTGCCTCAAATATAGAAACCATATTCAATGAAAAAAGTTTATGACTAACTTTGAGTTAATTCTCAACACAAATAGTGTATTCTTAAGGCCAGGAATAGGGTTTTTATAGTGGATTTCATGAACCGTTGAGGACAATCGCACCGAAAGTAAAATTTTTCGGTAGAAAACCATAACAAATTTTGATTGTTTTGTGGGTCACACATAGTTTTTGGTGCATTCATTCATTTGCCTTTTAGCGTTACAATTATTTCTGATGTATAACTCCTATTCTCACCAATAATTTTGAATATCGAAAGTCTTTTAAAAGAAACATAAAAATATCTATTAATAAATATATTGTTTGGTAATTAATACTTAGATTATATATCGTTTTGCAGTGTTTTATGGATTTTCACTTTAAAAAATCTCTTCCACTCGTGTTTTTCTGTGAACTAAATCGATAATAGTTTTCGCAAAATTCATTGTTTGTAATTTATTTATAAGTATTTAATTATATGTTTTACGTGTTTTTCAAAATTAAATTATATATATTTTTATGTTTAATCAATTGAAAAATTGAACCACAAATACAATACCATTAAATATATTGTGTATAATTAATATATAACTAAATTGATGACTAAATAATAGATTTGAGATAACTGTAGTTTAACTTTTTGGGGTAAACTCATCGAGTTATCAATGTTTTCATTGAAATCGATATGCATTTGTTGTTAACAAGATTAATGTTTAAATCTGAGTTTTATAAAGACTTAATTAAGTTTATAATAGGAATTAAAACTTAATACCCTTTTGTTTTTTATTATATAACATACGATTTATTAACCGAGAAATTAGTAATTGTTGTCCATTTACTGAGAAATTGTTTTTATTTTTGGGAGAAATAATTTAATTAAACATTTCTAAAAACACAACTAATCATAACTTTTATCTAAAATTGTGATCGAATATTATTTTAGATAAACTTTTTAACTTTTTTCTTGTTATGCCTATTGTTTATCTAATATAAAACTTTTAACAAATATTTTAATTACATTTTTAAAGTAAATTACTTATTTAATAATAGTTGAGATAAAAATAAACATTCACTTATAAGTTATAACTTATAAAAATTTCCAAAGTATTTATCAACGAATAATTTTTCAATCAATTCATGTCTCGTCTTCTCTGCGATCTTAACTACAAAATCAAACCCAATGTCAATGATTAGCCAAATATCAGACATATTTTGATTGTCAATGAAATTTAAAATTTAATTTTGGAAAAACCTTTTTAAAAACACACAAAATAATTGTCTATTTTTAAAATTTAGGTCATTTTAGGATTTAATTGAAATTTATTATATGTTATTAAAAATGTAACTCAAAAATGAATGCATTTAAGGAAACGTGAATAATAATGAGCTCTCATTTAATATAAAACACTATTAATCTAGAAATTGGTCTTTTATTTGGTGTTTGTTTAAAATCAAAACCAAATTAAAGATTTCAAAGATATGAATGCATTAATAGAAAGTTATGAACGCCTGTGAAATGAATGAAAAATTATGGTAATTTAGATTTTATTGAAGCATATCTTTGAGAAGTTTGTGAAATACTTAACTACTGCCTAACTATGGCTTTGTTATCGATATACAGCTATGTTTGCCCATAGAGTGAAAGCAACAAAATAAAAAAGTTATGAATTAATAACTAATACTAAATGCCTTTTGTTGGCGCAGATTAGATGAGAAACGAGATTTGCATTTGAATAGCAATTAGACTTGTTTTCCGCAAAACACTTTCTAACAAAATATTAATTAGTATTCATTTATAATGACTT